TATTATTCATACATTGTACATTAGAATGCAAAATTGTCATTTCTTCATCTCTCGAGACGTCTGTTTTATAAAATTTTGGTGTGATGTTTTACAATTTTCATTACTATATGTAGGGAAGGTAAATGAAGATGAATTATGAAATTTATTATTAATCATCTGAGAAATTGCTAGGCGTTTCTCTTTTTGAAGAATAACACCTCTATAAATGTCATTTGATTCGAAATATTTTATTTTATTATAGTTTATAGCTAAACTATGTAACTGCTTGTTGATATCGTATATTTCATAATCATTGCGCTTATCGTATTTTATACTCATTATTAGCAATTCATATTCCCGAGAGCGGTCAGTGTTCAAAATTTTACTTAATAGTTGAGGATATATATTCATAGTTTGTTTCTGACTGTATTCATCAATAAATATAATAACTAGATCATTTTTTTCAAATCCGGAGACATGCGTCGAATAATTTTCTAATATTTTATCGGGACCAGCAAACGGCTTACATATGTTAGTAACGCTATTGTATCTATAACAGATTCGCTTGAAATACTCTCCTAGTCCTTTTCCCGTTTTGCCAGAAAATATTAAAATTTTCCCTTTTTCCTGACATGACTTTTCTATGGTTTTTATTTTATTATTATCATTTTCTGTGGTTTTAGACGGTTTTGTCAGATAATTTCTGTAATTCATTTTCGAATTGTGTATTTCAATTGGTTGACATGTTTCTCGTTGTAATTGTGTATATTCCTTTTGTAGTTTTTTAATTTTTTTATTCTGTTGTCTAATTTTTTTAAACAGTTTTCTATTCTTGTATACACTACTACCTTTAATGTTTACACTTGAGTAGTTTTTCGATTCCAAAATTGTCCTAACATTATTGTATTCGTCCGTAATTTGATTTAATTTTACCTGTAGCAATCTATTTTCCATGTTAATTTCATTTAATTGTTTTTTGTAAGGAGTCATAATGTTGTTATTTAGATTTATGACTTCTTCATAATCTTCATTAACTTTACTGTTCACTGTTTCCATAGTTATTAGATCATTTTGTAAGTCTATAATGAAGGCTTCCTTTTCTGCTAAGTGTTTTTTTAAAAGTTGGTTTTCTTTGCATAATTTTTCAAATTCTAAACTGTTTTGTTCATATTCATCTTCCAATGTTAATATTAATCTTTCTTTGTCTTTCAATTTCCTATCAATATTGCATATTAATTTTTCATATGTTCTAATACTGTCATCCTTTTCCTCTATTTGTTTCTCCAATGCGCTAATTGTTTTGTTTTGTAAACGTTTCTGTGTACGTGTTTCTATACCTGATGTTATATTTTTGTCCATTATAATCGATGCGCTACAAATTTATGAATAATAACTAATACTTATTCTATTTAATGTGCAATTGATATTCGAAGGCACGGCCTCTTAGCGCAAAAATCTTAAGAGTGGCCAGTTATCCAATAAACCAATACCGAACCTACAACAACAGCGCAAAATGTGAATCCCTTTCTGTTGGCTTGCGAGTATAATTAGTATAACATTTATTTTATGTTTACTATTAGAGTCCAAAGGTCCAAAGGTCAGTTTTATTTTAAACACGATCAGCTGTATTTATATGTGAAATATTGACGGTAGTTTAATAATTGTGTGTTATGTTTCTTGTGATATGCTAAATTTAAGTTAAATGACTTTTATCATTGCAATTGCATTGGTATTTGCCCAGTAGGTTATTTATAATAGTTTAATTGTAATATTAATGCTGTCCTTTGTCACTTACTGCGATTCAAATATCACTGTATTCATTCGAACTTAACGGTTCTCTTTTATCTTCATTGTTCACAATTTCTTCTCAAAAACAATAACACGTCACATTTATCAACTTAGTAATACACAGTGAATTAATTGCGTTGGTACAAGCGTATTTGTTTTTTAAAAAATAAATAAATGTTGTGGAGCCAATGTTTACTGTGCGGCGCCCTCTAGCGAACATTATTTATTTTACAATTATTCAGGTAAATCAATTTTATCCCCTTCAAAGTACTCCCCCTGTGACATAATGCACTTGTGCCAACGCCGTTTCCACTGTGAGAAGGCTCCTTGAAAGTCCTCTGGTTGTAGGTTTCTCAGCTGCCCCGTCGTAGCTTTTTTTATCTCATTTATGTCCCCCAAATGCCGCCCCCGAAGTACCAATTTGGTTTTTGGGAACAAGAAGAAGTCACACGGGGCCAAATCCGGCGAATAGGGGGTGTTCGGTCACCGTAATGGAATTTTTACTCAAAAACTCACGGACAACAAGAGAGGTGTGGGTAGGGGCATTGTCGTGGTGAAGAATCCAACGCCCCTCTCGCGCCAATTCTGGACGAACTCGTGCCACACGAGCTTTGAGGCGTCTGAGCACATCGACGTAGAATTTTCCATCAACTGTCTGGCCTGGAGGGACGAATTCTTGATGGACAATCCCCCGAACATCGAAAAAAACAATCAACATTGTCTTGACATTTGAGCGGGATTTTCTTGATTTTTTTGTTCGTGGTTCCCCGGATGTCTTCCACTCTTTGCTTTGGGATTTTAATTCGACATCAAATTCGTAGAACCAAGACTCATCTCCAGTGATGACTCGGTTCAAAAAGTCACCATTCTCTTCGGCTTCCAACCAGTCCTCACAGCAAGCAACTCTTCGTGATTTTTGATCCGGGGACAAAAGCTTGGGAACGATCTTGGCGCAAATTTTTTTCATTTGAAGTTCGTTTCTTAGAATTTCGTGGACCACGGTTTTGCCCAAATTAAGCTCTTCAGCCACCTGTCTGACCGTTAAACGACGGTCCCCATTAACACAAGTTCGAATTCTTTCCACGTTTTCGTCGGAATGTGAAGTGGAAGGACGTCCTGAACGTGGGTCATCTTGAACGCTTTCTCGGCCCTCTCTGAATCTTTTTAGCCACTTGTGGACGGTTGGTTCCTTCACAGCATCATCCCCATAAACTGTTCTGAGATCGGCAAAAATTTCACGGCCATTCTTGCCGAGTTTCGAGAGAAACTTGATTACGACGCGCTGCTCTTCAACGGAAGCGGGCTCCATGCCGACGGGGTTTCGTTAAGAGGTAACTTCACAGATGGCGTGACAAGCCAGTTCGCACCGCACGGCGGTCAGACCAGAACTGAAGCATTGTTAGGGACATAAGGAAGGGGTCCTGCGCTTACCTGGCCTCCCCACTCCTCTTTCTCGCATTCCAGAACACTTTTATACGAACTTTCCGGACAGACCTCGTATACATACAGTCCACATATGGATTCAAACTGGTGACCTCTAGCTACATCCGTGCAACAATCGGACATATCCAGTGGCCTTATACTTTTAATACATTTGTAATATTTGTGAGCGAACGAGTTAACTAGTATCTGTGGTACCACTATCTATCCACGTACGGTACTTTTTTTTTAATGGGTGATAATGAAATGGTAACACCACCCGCGCTATCGGTATACACCGGCGGGGCACCAGTGAAGAATGATAGGTGAGTATGAAGTAGGTCAGTTAGCCCATCGTAACGATTCCAACAAGAATTGTTCACGATACTTTCCAGGGGGAACCACGTGGAAGTCGACCTAATAAGGAGCTGTTAGACGTTATTATTAAAATCCCCTTCTCCTTTTTATGGTACTAAGTCTTAATTTATCCGTCATGTCTATCTTTTTTTATTGTAATATAGTACGTTACTGCAGCGGCCAGCAACTGAGGCATTGATGGACGAACGTGCAAATGTGGGCCAAGGCGTAGCCGAGGCACACATACGTGAGTCCATCAATGCCTAGTTGTGGCCAAAGCTTGTATAGTACTTTTCTCAAACAATGCGCGGAAAACAAAAACACAATTTTACTTTTTAAGTTCAATGACGAATAACGAACAATAATACGTTTTCACGCGCCATAATGTTACTTTGTTTTTTTTTTCAATAAACAGCTTTCTATTTGCAAGCCAGATCGAAATTTAAATAAAACCTTTTATTGGTTACCTCCTTATTAGTTATGTTTCGAAGTAAAAGGTCATTCCATTTTTAAATTACAGGACAGATATGAGTCTACATAGTAATTTATCTGGCCGCAAAACACGACAGATACGGATTTTCATACAACTTTTGCCGGCCGCTGCCCGCATGTATCTGGCCAGTACGGAAATTTTGATTTATCACGAAGAAGATTGTCAAAATAATGCTTACATTTCTAAGCATGTTTGAGAAAATAATATTATCTTTCAAGTTTGAACAATCGATACACAATCGTAGCAGTCGTCAATCGTCCACTGTTAAACATAGGCCTCCCCCATAACGGGGGACTTTGCCAGTAGTTGCCACGCTTGGCATGCGCATTGGCAACCGCTGTTTGGCTTTTGATGTTTTAAGAGGCACTCTACTGTCCATCACTCCACCATAAGCTCCCTTAGTCGCCTCTTACGACACCCACGGTAAAGGAAAGGGTGGCCTATTCTATGCCGGAACCACACGGCAGTTCTATACACAATAAACGCTCTATATAAGCAACTCATCTGAACCAATTTCAATAAAAAAAATCTTATTGGGAAAAATAGGAAAAAAAGGCGTATAAAAATACTTAGCGTCTGGAAAATATTTTTACTTATTTCTTTTACTAACTAAGCTGAGTAGAATAAATAAAATATAAAGAATGTTGCTTATATAGAGCGTTCACTGTATTATTAACCCTTCTTTGCATAATGGTGGAAATTTCCATCATAACATTGAATGCCCAAAAATTATATAAAAGAACAAGTTCAATTTAAGTTGATCGTGTCTGGATACCTTTTTAACGTCCAATGTTGAAAAAAAAAACATAGCGGTCAAATTTTTTAATTTTGAACATGAATTATATCACCTTGATTTATTTCATCAATAAAAAAAAACATGCAAAGAAGGGTTAACATTTATATATACTTACCATGTTTCTTGCAAATAAATATCACTAATTAATGAAATAAATAAAAGACCGTGTACAGTTCCACTAAAACCATCAACATTAGGTATAAGTAGTGCGTTTAATTCTATATGACACAATACACAATTTACCTATTTAACAATAGAAAAAAAAAAACTTAATACAGATTAGAAATTATATTTAAGCAGACGAGGGACTTCTTGTCTGACATAGATTAATAGCTTGACATTCAACGTGTTAAGCAAAGCAACTTTGTCTTATTTTTATACAATATATCATGTAACACAGATTTCGTCCTTCGTCTGCTCGATCTAAGCATAATTTTAGTGAGACTTAGCAAGTTTTTTAGAGAAAATTAAAAACTTGGTATTTGACTCAGACATGATATACGAGATGACACTAATTACTGTAATCGACACGTCTGATGTTACTTGTCTTCGACTGTTTGTAATATAAAAAAAAAAAAAAAAACTTTTGGCGCCAATAATTAAAGTCACAATTTTAAAAGACAACACAAAATTTAAAAATAGAAATAATTTCTAATTTTAATTAATTGATTAATAATGTTAAATTGCTAAAAAGAACCCGCATAGAAATCGTTGATAGCTCCAAATCTTTGTTCTAAAATAGAAATTGGCGCCAATATTTAAAAAAAAAAAGTCCTCGTCGCACAGAGTAATGCAGCCACATACACGGACGCACGGAAGCAACTTTGTACCAATAGCGCTCGCGTAAATAACTGTTATGGTGAGCGTACGGCTGACTACCTGGTTCCTCGATTTATTAATGTACTACCCACCGATGTACGAGATAACATTACTATTAGCAACATCAAGTATAAATTGAAACGATACTTCTTGCATGGTTTTAATACAATTTAAATATTTTGAATGTATTTAGTATTAATATAAACCTACGTCGTTTCTGAATGCTAATGTAACATAATTTCTGTAACTTGTATTTTTATTGATAATAAAATAAAAAAAAAAAACAACTATTACCTAGTTACAGAATTTGCTTTGCATTGTAATGCAGTATATAAACTATGATTATTTATTTACAAAACGAAAACGGATGCATACTATACATATATATATAATAAATACACCGAAACAAGCTTCAAATGTATATTTGTATGTATGTACAGTTTTAACTTACTTTATTATAATACGACATTTGGTTTACATCTTATATTTTATTACATTCCTTATTAGAACACACAATGAAACACTTGCCATCTTGTAGAGATTTTCTAAACAAAGTGTACTTAAATTAGTTTTATTTTTCACTAAGAACAAGGAATTATAAAGGAATGATAAAATAAAAACTGTATATGGTTGTCTCCTTTCTTCTTACGCCAATATAATTAGTAAAAAGAGGACGAAGGATTGTTATCAGTTGGTATTTTTGTCAATTCATAGCAGGCTAGTGTACAGAAAATGTCATACGGGAGTATAACCCTACCAAATTCTAGATGCAACCTGCTTGCATACTTTCTACATAAACTGTGTCGACTATATAATCTAGTAATGTAAAATTTGTCATTGACAAATAATTGACATATCAAACATTTTCTACACACTAGCCTGCTATGAATTGAGAAAAATGACAACAGGTGTATCCTTCGTCATTTTTTTTTTTTACTAATTATATTTGCATAAGAAGAAAGGAGTAATTCTATATAATACCTTGTTCTTAGGTTCTATCTATCTATTAAAATTTATGATATCTATACATACATTTATTGAAGCCATAAATAGCTTAGATAGTGGATTTTAATACTATTTCTCCGTTAAACTAGTTGATGGTAAACTATTAGAAAGATAAGAGTGTTGTGTGATAAATGTTCGAACTACGGGCGGTGAATCGGCATTTACTTCTCTGGCAAAAGATTTTACTGAGATCCTGGGTTGTGTTTGTGTAGTGGACAGCGTGGTTACTACGTCAGAGTTATTTACAGATGGTTTAAGTGAAGACCGAGTGTTCAACCAAGGGGCAGGTTTATATCTTACCTCTATAAGGTTACCTCGTACTGGATTTGGAAGTAACGTGTTATTGGAGGCAAGACAGAAAGATGTCTGTCCAATGGACGGTATGACAGGGGAAATGAAGGGACTCACGGGAACTCTTTCTAATGGGTTGATAGAGATGAAAGTGGGTCGAATGGGAGCTTGGTTGATGATTGGTGGCCGGAAGAGAGAATTGGTTGTGGGAGCGACCGTGACTAGAGAGCTTTGTAGAAAACTCGTTGATGGCATTGCGGTGGTGACAGGATTGGATTGAGCCAATATTGGCTTAGTGTTTATACAGACTACAGGGGATGGGCCTGGGATTTGTTTATCTTCTAGTTCTTTGAAGGATGACAAAGGCAAAAGAGCTGGTGGTTGTCGACCTGCCGGTTTCTTTGTAGGGGCGGACTCGGGAGAATTTTGGACCGCTGGGTTGTGGGTGAGTTTAGAGACATTTTGAACGGGGGTTTCGCTGGGGACAATGTTGGAGCCCGCCATCCGACAGGTTGGCGTCACCTTGCCTGTTCTTAATGAGTACAACTCTATTGGTACGTTCTTCTGTCCGAGGATCTCACAAATACTTCTGTCCGATATAACGTACTTCACCTGTTGATAAATACAGATTACTAGTTGTGTTTTGCGGTTCCACCCGCGTGAATCAGTACATATCCAAGTATCATACAGTATCCAATGTGCTAACCTACCCGTGTATCAAATTTCATTAAAATCCGTTCAGCAGTTTTAGCGTGACAAAGTAGCAAACATCATTTATCAATTATTACAAATTTTCGCATTTATTATATTAAAAGGATGCTTATGTTGGTGTTTCTTTAAAATTGGAGAAATTTGTTTCTCAATATTTATTTTTATAGATAGATACTCTTTATTATTTCCTCCATAAGATTACTATAGTAATTTACCAGAGGGAGACTTTGTACAAAAGTCGATTGCTTGGGTACCTCTGTCCCATTCGTGTTTCTACCGTGAAGCAGTTGTGTTTGCATGGCTGTGTTTCGGTTTGAAGGGTGGGATATGATGTGAATTTACAAGGTACAGAGGAATAACACCTAAGTCCTCAGGAAGGGCAACGCATGGGAGGTATCATGGGCGAAACAGTATACTCTGTTATGTCCATGGTACGGCTCATGTCTATAGGCGATGATTATCACTTTCCAGCAGGTGGGCCGTCAGCTTGTTAGCCATTCTAAGTTGTATGAAAAAAAAAGTAAACTTATTATAAATATAAATAATTACAAGAAATAATCACAATGAGAAAACAATGGGCGACCTTATCGCTAAGAGCGATCTCTTGCAGGCAACCTTTGGATGGAGAGGAGTAATTATAAACAGCTTGACAGGAGTCACGAATACGTTATAAATAAGAACACTTGAACTACTTAATTTATTGTTTGTATTATTGCTGTCAACTACCTGCGCTTGTATGGCTGTGTTTCTGTTTGAAGGGTGTGATATGGCAGTGAATACTGTACAGGGGCATAATACCATAGTCTGAAGGGAAAGATATTGTTAGCAATAGGGTCTAACAGTCCCATTGCTAATCACATATCCTATCATGTCAATATCCACGCGGTTTCCCCTAAAAACCATTGTGGTTAATGTGGAATTTGTCTCGATGGCCCAACTGACCTGCTTTCATCTTCACCTATCATTTCTCATTGGTGCCCCGCCAGTGTATACCCAATTAGAAAACGGTGATGATGATGATGATAATAAAGGTAATCTGTAACATCTATGGATAGTATAAAAAACGAACTTACCCGACCGTAGACTAATGGAATGTTATGTAACTTCTTATATACATTGTTGTCTATGCAAACTTCATCGGGAGCTTGCAAAAGGACTGTTGTACCGTCGCTGTTAGTGTATACATTTGTGGATATTTTCGAAGTACCAGTACCACTTTGACTCGTCTGGTTTCCATTTTGACTCGTCTGGTTTCCACTTTGATTCGTCTGGTTTCCACTTTGACTCGTCTGGTTTCCACTTTGACTCGTCTGGTTTCCACTTTGACTCGTCTGGTTCCAAATTTGACTCATCTGGTTATTACTTTGACTAGTCAGATTACCACTTTGACCTGTCTGGTTGTGTGTAGATTCCTGCGAATCAGGGAAAATCAACATGGCGGTCTTCCCCAACGGTCCGGTAGACCAGTAGGTCGGCTCCAAAATCGGTATCACATAGTCTGTAACCACTAGATTCTCGTCTAACAGTTTCCATATAGGTTTCGAACGATCTATGCACAAAACTACTAGGCTAGGTAACTCGGATTCTCGTTCTTGTATGAATTTCTCGACGGGGATTGGTGGGATGAGTATATTGTCGATCTCCATGCTGCACATGTTTGGTGAGACGTGCGTGGACACTCGAGGTGGTCCTGAATTAGAAGAAATAAACGAAATTAACAGGGTACAATCGGAAGGATAAGCAAGCTGGAGTGGCAATGGGCTGGTCACATAGCTCTAAGAACCGACAACCGATGGTCCAGAAAAGTTCTTGAGTGGCGATCGCGTACAGGTAAACACAGTGTAGGATGACACCCCACTAGATTGAGTGACGATCTCAGATGCATTGCATGGAGTCAGATGATGCAGGTGGCTCAGGACCGCTCCTTATGGCAGTCTATGTGGGAGGCCTATGTCCAGCAGTGGACAGATAATGGCTGAGATGATGATGATAATGGATCAGAATCGTTAGTTTGTTTGTTTGTTACTTATATTACAGGACACAGAGTTCTTAAAAAAGAATTTTGTCTCCACCAATCCACACAATTGCTACCAGCCATTCAAAAGTTGACTGGAAGAGAATCCTTTTATGGGATAAGTCCGCCAATGTACTCATTCTTTTCTCAAGAACTCTGTACGCTATAATTTAAGAGTTTACTGTACAATAAAGTGTTACAAACAAACAATTTAGAATATAAAATCTAAATAATTTACCTTTTTTCTTTTTCGACGGCGGCTGACTCCATGTTGGATCGTTTTCCTCGTCATCTAAACAATAGGAAAGTTGGGATTTACAGTACATTACAATCACTAGCGATTCGCCCCGACTTCGCACGGGTAGACCGATAGATAGGTATTTCATTATTGATTGGCCCTTATTGATGGACGAGGCATGGACAGCAATATCTCTCTTAACACTAAACCTACCAAGCGACCGTTTTTGAAATTTAATTTAAAAAAAATTCATGTATGACGTTACTGTATCACCATGCAACTTATTGAATTTCCCTATAATATACATACAACCCATTTTTCAATATTTACAACTTACTATTATTCACTTGTTTACTATCCAATTGGCTAAAATCTCTTTCTATATTAAGATACATACTTTATTTTAAAGCGGTCATTTGACCGCTCATGGTAGGATTTTTTTGATGGGTGAAAATGGTATGGTAACCCCGCCTGCGCTAACGGTATACGCTGGCGGAGCACCAGTGAAGGGTGATCGATGAGAATGAAAACAGGCCAGTTAGCCCATCATGATAAACTCATCAGGAATTAACCATGATAGTTTCAGGGGGAACCGCGAGGAGGTCGACCTGGTTGGGTATATTGCTAGCAATGGGATTCTCAGTCTCCATTACTAACAATCCCTTTCCCCCTAATCCGTCGTGATGAATATGCCTGGAATTCAGCACGATTGTTTCCAGGGGGAACGACGTGGAAATCGACCTGACAGGGTATATTGCTAGCAATAGGACTAGCAATCTAGAGTACTAACAATCTCTTCCCCCCTGTGTTTAGTTTTGAAGGGTAGAATATGGCAGTGAAATTAGAGAGAATAGATGACACGCCTTATTACTCGGTAATGGATTCTCATCAGGCTACCATGGGCGTCACAGTGTATTCTATGAAATCCATGGGTGCTGTGTTTTTATATCACTTAGAATGGCAAACAAGCTGACGGCCCACCTGATGGAAAGTGGTAACCGTCGCCTATAGACACGAGCAGTACCATAGACAAAGCTGTTTATGTCCATAAGTTACTACTTTCCATCAGGCGGGCCGTCAGTTTGTTTACCATTATAAGCAACAAAAAAAGTCCTCTCTTAAAAACTCTGCTTAGTTTAAAACTAGAGGGCGTTGTTTGGTATTTCCATCATAATTCTTACCACTCAAGGTGGAGTCTACCGATGATGAATCATCCGACCCGTTTGAACTACTGCTATCGTGCTGGCGTCGGTTTGGTGAGGTTTGTCCGCGAGCCGCAAGTGATACGGCGTTATTGGCCTCTTGTGCTTTCAAAGAAATTAAAGTTTAGACATATATTCCCAGATTTTTTTCATGCAACTTAGAATAGCAAACAAGCTGACGGTCTACCTCATAGAAAGTTGTAACCGTCGCCTATAGACATGAACAGTACCATGGACATAACTGAGTATACTGTTTCGCCCATGATACCCCCATGCGTTGACATTCCTGAGGACTCAGGTGTTATTCCTCTGTATCCAGTAAATTCACGCCATATCCCACCTTTCAAACCGAAACACAGCAATGCAAATACAACTGCTTCACGGTAGAAACACAAATGGGACAGAGGTGCCTAAGTAAATGACTTTTTCAGGTCCCTCTGGTACCTTTCCAGTGATGGAAAACACCATTAGCCAAATGTTGAACATTAGTCACTAAATAGGTGTATCCCTCCCAAAAACTGACTGTCCACTGCTGAACATAGGTCTGCCCCGTAAGGGGAGTTTTGCCAGTAGTTACCACGCTTGGCAGGCGGATTGGCAACCGCAGTTAGGTTTTCAGAGATGTTTTAAGAGAGACGCTGCTGTCCATCCCTCGCCCTCCCTTAGTCGCCTCTTACGACACCCACGGGAAAAGAAGGGGTGGCCTATTCTATGCCAGGACCAAACGGCAGTAGGCGCAAGGGCAAGTCGGTTTTTTTTAATGGGTGATAATGGTATGGTAACCCCGTCTGCGCTATTGGTATACACTGGCGGGGCACCAGTGAGGGATGACAGATGAAGATGATAGTAGGTCAGTTGGCCCATCCTGACGAATTAAACTAGAATTTGTCACGATGGTTTCCAGGGGGAACCGTGTGGAGGTCGACCTGACAGGGTGTATTGCTAGTAATAGGCTCCATTACTAACAATCCCTTTCCCCCCGGGCAAGTGGGGTTACCATTCCGTTATTACCGATTAGTACATGAAATACTACTCACCAACTAGTATGGTCAGACCGAGGTTCTGCGAGACTCGCACTTGACCGATCGTACCGGAGTCCACCTCCAGACTCTGTTGCGTATTCCTCGTCAATTTAAAGTCCGTTTTGTATTTCCTTTTTCCACTTTCCCCGTCGTACATATTCTTATTTGTGTTCTCATCTATTCCCGTTTGACCAATGGCCGAGTGGCATCGTTTCCTTGCATTGCAATCTGTGATGTTCGGGTCTGATGATTTACTACTTTCCTTTGTTGATTTATCATCAGTCTGTAAGGTAATATAATAATAATGACAGCGATTTCAATAATCTTAACACTAGATACAAATACAAACTTGCCTATTATTTTTTTATACAACTTATAATGGCAAACGAGCTGACGGTCCACCTGATGGAAAGTGGTAACCGTCGCCTATAGACATGAGCAGTACCGTGGACATAACAGAGTATACCGTTTCGCCCATGATACCTCCCATGCGTTGCCATTCCTGAGGACTCAGGTGTTATTCCTCTGTACTCAGTAAATTCACGCTAGTGAATTTACAGGGTACAGAGTACAGTAGAGAATTTACTGGGTTTGCTGTTCCGAAGTATCGTTTAGAAAAAGTCATAGGTCTTTTATGGGAACGGGCATTAAATGTTATAATAAGATACCGAAGGATATTTTGGATCTACCTTTTAATAAGTTTAAAACTGTTATAAAAAACACTTATTGAACAAAGCCTGTTACACTCTAAACGATTACTTGAACGACAAACGTGCACGGTGTTAGTGGATCATGCGCGGGCTTTTTAATGACCATGTAACTTTAGACATAGTACGTTTAAATAAATACACACATAATGTTAACAGAGATTTAAAAGAGTGACTGTTGAGTCTCTCGCGGTCTCCTCTCAACAGATAACAACTTTACGAACCCTGCGCATTGTGTCGTAAAGGAATGACGATTTAAAACGTGCTTGTAAACAAGTCTATTTGAAGAGAGGTGACTTGAATTTAAACTATGCCATAACGGGGGAAAGGGATTGTTAGTAATAGAGACTGAGAATCCCACTGCTAACAATATACCCAACCAGGTCGATCTCCTCGCGGTACCCCCTGGAAACTATCATGGTTAATTCCTGATGAATTCATCATGATGGGCTAACTGGCCTGTTTTCATTCTCATCTATCACCCTTCACTGGTGCTCCGCCAGCGTATCCCGTTAGCGCAGGCGGAGTTACCATACCATTTTCACCCATCAAAAAAAAAAACTATGACATAACAAACTGGTGTAGTCGAGTTTATAATGTTAGTAAGGATTAAGGATACGATAAGGGAGTTATATTAAGAGATATGAAATTAGATGAAGGTTAAAATTATACCTTTGCGTCTGCCAATGAAAACACACTAGTTATTTTAATTGACATAGGCGTTTCATCGACACACACCCGTGGCTCATCACTGTTCGAATCAACACAAACATCATTAGTCGATCCACCATTATAACCGTTCGGGTCAGGTCCATTCACTATGGGCACTTCGAAATATTTATCCTCGGTCGAATCCATATTTACAATAGACACTTTTATTTTAAAATTGTGTTTTACATTTGCATCGTTTACTATTCCAGTCGGATCTGTTATAATTTCATCGACGACTCTGTCAATCATACTGTCAACATCTTGAGCTCTTTGCTCGACATTTGTTCCATCCATCGCTTGACCACCAACTTTAGTTCTATCACCAGTATCCACGTTATCTAGGTCAATGATCCGTCCCAGACTCTGTCCACCTATTATTTGTTCTATTACACGTCTGACGTCTAGACGATTGATCTGTTTACCGCCGCTAGGTATCACCACATTTCCATCATCGATGATACTACCAAGATATTGGCCTCCTACAATATGTTCGATAACCTTTTTAACGTTTAGCCGAGCTGTTTCAGCACATTGTCCAATCACCATCTGGTCGGTGCTGTCAACGTCTATACTCTTTGAGGCAACATTATTCGTGGCTTGATCATTAATGTTAGATTTGTCTTGGGAGGTTATTTTGGTGGCCATATCTGTTAGAGATTTGACCATTCTCTGGCGGAAACTCTCGTCGAATATTATTGTTTTCCTGTCTACATTAGGTTTCATCATTGATATTTCTGATTGTTTACACTCTAATCTCTCGTTTAGGCGTTGTTTTAAAATGTCGCGCAGTGGATTTGTTGGACAATTTGTTGCGAGATTTACAGTCGTTATGTTTGAATTACTTCTCGAATGTGTCGGTTGCATCTGATTGTTTATTCCTCTTGCGTTGATACTATGGCTCGTTTCCTTCTGGGCTTTGTTCCTTTGCGATTCAATTGAGGGTAGTTGGAAGAATCTCTGGTGTATGTTCTTCTGTCTGATCCACTCCTGGTAGTCGTCGTGCGACGGCGGTTTGAGCGCTGTCCTCGTCGTTGTCTCCGACTGCTTTTTCTTCTTGCGCTTCTTAGATTTGACGCGGTAGTCGGGATCTTGTTCTGTCTCGCTCGTTGGTTTCTGGAGGAAATAATTAATTAATTAACCACGTTCTACCGTATGTACAACGGATTGTGCTCAGAGGAATTGTTCAATATGATGCCTACGGCCACTTTCTAGCATCGTACGGCTCGCCATCGACAGGGAGTACACCCTCATACCCTACAGCCTAGATCGTCGCGTACAACGCGATTTCAGAGATTTCTCCCACGAACACTCAGGTTATGGAATGAGCTTCCTGTTGAGGTTCTTTTAAGAGACTACTTTCAGGATCGCCAACGCGCGTGTAATGCCGCTGGTATTGCAGGCGTTCATAGGCTACGGTAACTGCTTACCATATACATACATACAGACATAGCGGTGCGGCATTGCACACGTGCGAAGCCGGAGCGGGTCGCTATATATATGTATATATATATATATATATATATATATATATATATATTTTGTACAATGCATATGTACCTTAGTACATACATACACAATACATGTACATACTTATACAGAAGTCAGGTAACAGTGCCACGAGTTCAATGATCTTTTGTTCTTGCAGTTTCCACTTCAAGAACAAGCCATATGACAGGAACCCACTCACCCTGGTCTCGACGAGCGCCGACTTTGGCAGCGAGTCCAGCAAGGCCTTCAGCTGGCGCTGCACCTCGTGCTGTTCCCTGACGAAGCGATGCTTCTTGGACGTGTAGCATCTATCGCACGAGCTGGAATATTAATATTAATTAATTGTATTGTGGTCCCGGCATAGAAGGGACCACCGCTTCCTTCCCGTGGAGCCGCCAGTGGTAATCCCCTCGCTATGAGGAGCGTCGGTTTACTGTTTTTTTTTTTGATGGGTGCAAATGGTATGGTAACCCCGCCTACGCTAACGGGATACGCTGGCGGAGCACCAGTGGAAGATGATAGGTGAGAATGAATGCAGGTCAGTTAGCCCATCGTGATGAATTCATCAGGAATTAACCATGATAGTTTCCAGGGAGAACCGCGAGGAGGTCGACCTGGTTGGGTATATTGCTAGCAATAGGATTTTCAGTCTCCATTACTAACAATCCCTTTCCCCCCCGGTTTACTGGTTGTTTTTTTACTGTATGGTGTTAGAATATGATATAATTGTAGCCTAGTCGCAATAGTGAGGTAGGAAGGGGGGGGGAGGGATTTGGCAAAAAGGATTACCAGTCCCATTGTTAGTAATATGCCCAACCAGGTCGACCTCCACGTGGTCCCACCTGGAAACCATCATGCTGAGTTCCAGGTGTATTCATCACGATGGGCTAACTGACCTGCCTTTTCATTCTCACCTATCGTCCCTCACTGGTGCCCCGCCAGTGTATACCGTTAGCACAGGCGGGATTACCGTTCCATTATCATCCATTAAAAAGTCACAATCGTGAGGTGGGGAGGGGGGGATTGTTAATAATGCGGACTGATAGTCGTATTACCAGCAAAATGGTTCTTATTTTATAGATGATAATGGTATGGCAACCCCGCCTGCGCTTTCGATATACGCTGGTAGGGTGGGTACCAGTGAGAGAAGATATAGAAAAATAAAAGGCAAGTCAGTTAGCCCATCGTGACGGATTCAACAAGAATTAACCACGATGTTTTCCAGGGGGAGTGTGTGTGGATCGAACTAGTGGGATAGATTGCTAGCAATGAGACTGTTTTTTTTTTAATGGGTGAAAATGGATTGGTAACCCCGCCCGCGCTATCGGTATACACCGACGAGGCACCAGTGAGGGATGATAGGTGAGGATGAATGCAGGTCAGTTGGCTCACCATGATGAATTCGACGAGAATTAAACATGATGGTTTCCAGGGGGAACCGCGTGAAGGTCAACCTGAGAGGGTATATTGCCAGTATTGGGGCTATTAGACCCCATTACTAACAATCCCTTCCCCCCCCCCTCCCCCTCCCTTAGGGTGGTAAGATATGGGTATGAATAATATATATAAGCTAGACGTACCAGTTGAGGTGCACGTGTGCCAGACGTGGATGCCTGCGTGTGCGCCGCGGGGGGGTCGGCCGCTGCCGCCGCCACGCCGCCGCGCTCTCAGCCACGCCCAGGCTCTGCCGGACACATTCAAACACATTTATATTACATTTAAAACTAACTCAAAGTGCTCCATTATGAGTATTGTTTTTTAATTTTGGTTTACTTCGAGTTTATATATTTAGTAATTAAAAAACTGTCAACTTTTTTAAAACTTATTTATCTATTTATTTAATATTTTCAATTCAATTCAATTTATTGCATTCTACAATATTATTATGAAAGATGTTAACAATGGATAAAGTACATTGTAGACCCTGTCGGGTACAGCAATTAGAAGCGGCGAGGGCGTTAATACTTAAATTTTCATTAAGATTTCAATAATTCAATTTGATCAATTTAATTAAATTCGAATTAAATCCCAAATTAATTTAATTATTTCAATGATTTTTTTTTATTTCCATATGTTTTATTTTATTTTAATGCAATTTAATGTAGTTGTTCATATTTTTATATGTTTTTAGTATCATTATCAATTATTAACATATTTTTATTTGCGTCAGGGGTGTTCTTCTCTAGATATCTGTCCGATTCTAGAACAAGTGCATACGGGTATGCGACCCCGGCCTCCCGAGCCGCTGCAGTGTCCCAGTCTTTCCCGCAACTACTTCCCCCCCTTTCCTCTCCCACACAAGCCCCTTATTCCTCTCATTCACCAATTTCCTTTACGCATTTCCAACGTTCCCTTCCTTTTTTCCTCAATCCTTTCCTCCGAACCGTAGGTGGCGGAAACCACCAACAAATGCATTCTCAAAGAGGGTTGACGTCAGGCAGGCGGCCGGTCGTAAAACTAAAAACCAAATCTTTTTGCAATATGGATAAGAGACCAGAGGGAGACTTTGTACAAAAGTCGATTGCTTGGATACCTCTGTCCCATTCGTGTTTCAACCGTGAAGCAGTTGTGTTTGCATGGCTGTGTTTCGGTTTGAAGGGTGGGATATGGCGTGAATTTACTGGGTACAGAGGAATAACACCTGAGTCCTCAGGAATGGCAATGCATGGGGGGTATCATGGGCGAAATAGTATACTCTGTTATGTCCACGGTACTGCTCATGTCTATAGGCGACGGTTACCATTTACCATCAGGTCAGCTTGTTTGCCATTCTAAGTTGTATAAAAAAAAATCATGTTACGCCGACCCCAAAATGATTGGAATAAGGGTAGGAAGGTGATGATTTAATACTTTATATGTTTCTATAACAAATTTTTAATTAAAAATATGACAGAGATATGTAAATGTACAAAGACGAGCTTAACTCTAATAGAGTTCTCTTCCAGCGACACACAAAGTGGAAAGGAGCATCAATGTCAGCGGGTAGAGCCGTGTGTACAATATCGGGCATATTTTTTTTAATAATATATAGCTTATGCTGCCATGTGGTCCCGGCATAGAATGGTCCACACGTTCCTTTCTCATGTCATGTCATAAGAGGCGACTAAGAGAGCTTAAGGTGGAAGAATGTGCAGTGCCCCTCTTAAAACTATTGTAAAGCCTAACTGCGGTTGCCAAACCGACTCCCAAGCGTGGCAACTACTGGCAACCCCCCCCCCCAAAGGTAGGCTATGTTCAGCAGTGGACAGATAAAAGCTGATATGACAACCCTCCTCCCCAAGGAAAGACCTATCACTTTGGGGGGGTTTTGCCAGTAGTTGCTACGTTTGACAGACGGGTTGGTAACAACAGTTAGGCTTTGGTGATGTTTTAAGAAGAACGCTTCTGCCTATCCCTCGAGCAGTAATTTTTTTTTATATACCACTGAAGTGGCTAACAAGCATACGGTCCACCTGACGGTAAGCGGTTACCGTAGCCTATGAACACCTGCATTACCAGGGGTATTACGCGCACGTTGCCGACCCTGAAGAAACCTCTTTACCCCCTCCCCCCTTTAAAGAACCCCTAGACACCTTTTACGACACCCATGGGAAAGGAAAGGTGACATGAAAATTATTAGAAGAAATATACAAACTCACCGTCAAATGTTTCAGCAGATCGGACAGCTGTTTCTCGGACGGCAAATATTCCACAGTATCATCGACTGGAAACATATACAAATCATTATAATTGTTTACATATACTCTGGGGTCACCAATTTATACATTTTCACAGTGGCGAATGTGGTGAGTGTGGCGAGTGTGGTGAGTGTGGCGAGTGTAACGAGTGTGGCGAGTGTGTGATATGTGTAAATTGTAGTTATTTGGGAGAAAACGTGAATGTAATAAATGTTGCGTGTAATGAGAGTGACGAGTGTGAAGATTGTGGAGAGTGTGACAATTGTGGTAATAGTCACCAGAGTGACGTGATTGGGGAGTGTGATGACAATTTATTATGCTACTATGTAAGCTTATTAGCTAATATAGTTATTAGCTTCAAAGTTGTAACTTGTTAGTAATTTATGAAGGCGAGTGAGACCAGTGTGGTAATGAAGAGTACTATAACACAGTTTATATCACTATTGCACGAAGAAATATTTCATTTTTGTGATCAATTTGATGATGGTGGTAAATTAAAAATGTATTAACAGCTAATATGGCTATAGTTTTCCAATATAGTGATAAGTGGGATTTAATAGACTACTAAATACTTAATTACTTACAGTAACGTAGCTATACTGTAGTCTGTGGATAGTGTGGTAAGTGTGACGAGTGTGATGAACAATTAGATTTTTTTTTATTATTTAATTAGCATGTATAAATACATTAAAAACCTGGATTTTTTAGTACCACTTAAACCTCTTGCGCTTGTGTGTGACACTTTACATTTCGTTCTCAAATGTCAATGTTTACATTAATATTCTGCTGTTTCAGCAAGCTTGGACTGTAAATAAGCTTTAGTTTAAATTTTATGTTTTTAACAGTGATATTGCTTCGCAAGTCGGTAGGTAATTTACTAATCGCAGTATGAGGCAGGCGCTCGTTCGCTCGCTGTAACAGACCGTTGTTGGAAAATGTTTTTTGGGTAGTTATCAAAATGAAACGGACACTGGCAAGACACTTTTTTAATCAATTTACAAAACATTACAACAACTAACAACAACTAACTACTCGTGCACACACGTGTTACAGGCATATCGTTCGGCGCATGCGCGCCGGCATTAATTCAATCAAATGCTAACAGATGGCGCTAGTGGTTACAATTATAACATTTTACGAGGTGCGAGGTGCGTCGCTTACACTCGCCATAGTAGTTTTTTGCTCGAGTAGTGACTAGCTTGTTTTGCGCGGCGGAGCGTGTATGTATAGCATGATATATTTTTGTTTGTATTTCCTGTTTAAATTATTTAAGTTTCTGAGATGTCCTTTGGCGGCGAGTGTGGTAATTAGTGGTGAGTGTGAAAACTGCAGTTATATAGCTACTATGTATTTACAATAACTGTCGTAATCAAATGTTCTTAATTAACGACAAATGTGGCAAGCGTGACGACCATTAAGACGCATTTGAAGTATACGACTTACAACTAGTATCGCTGTCGCTCTCCGAGAGGTCCACTAATTTCGGCAGGTGCGGTGTGAAGGGCGAGCGTGGCGAGTGTGGCGAACGTGGCGATTGTGACGAGTGTGACGACGGTGGCGAGTGTGGTTGCGGCGCGACGTGCGCGGTGGGCGGGCGGCGGCGGCGGAGGGCGGCCAAGTCGGGTAATTGTACACGCCGCCCCGCGCCCGCCATCCCCGTTATCCCACTCATCCGCGACACCACCACCCACACCGGCCGACAGTACTTCATCTGACAAGCAACGGATCATTGTTATTATTTATTTTTCCAAAAAATCAAGACACCATCACCTTTAAAAAAAAAATGTGAGCTGAGTTCGAACTACGTCGAGGGTTCCCTCCTACACAGAAAAGAAATAATTTTTAGATATGTATTCGGGTGTGGTCCCGGCATAGAATGGGTCACGCCTTCCCTTCCCGTGGGTGTCATTAGAGGTGACTAAGGGAGAGCAAGGGATGGGCAGCAGCGTCTCTTTTAAAACATAACCAAAGCCCAACTGCGGTTGCCAACCAAGCCAAGTGTGGCATCTACTGGCAAAACACCCCAATAGGTGGAGCCCTATGTTCAGCAGTGGACAGTTAACGGCACAAAAAAAAAAACTCTCTCTTTATAATCTAAGCAATTTTTTATGCAACTTAGAATGGCAAACAAGCTGACGGCCCACCTGATGGTAAGTGATAAACGTCGCCTATAGACATGACCAGTACCATGGACATAACAGAGTATACTGTTTCGCCCATGATACCCCCCATGCGTTGCCATTACTGAGAACTCAGATTTATTCCTCTGTACCATGTAAATTCACTACCATATCCCACCCTTCAAACCGAAACACAGCCATGCAAACACAACTGCTTCACAGTAGAAACACGAATGGGACAGAGGTGTCCAAGCAAACGACTTTTGTACAAAGTCTCTCTCTGGCAATGAACTCACCATTTCCTCTACGGGCCCCACTTTCCTCATTGGCCTCAGTTCACTGGTCGATTTGTTTACACTCAAATCAATGTCTATTTTGTTCAAGTCTATTGAGTTATTCCGTGCGAATTTCTTCCAGGTTTGTGTCTCGTCGATTTTTATTAGAGGTATTTCGGTGGCCATCAATAGCTTTTCATCTAAAAAATAATATAACTAGCTTATAAATATAGCGTGTAACGGAAAATTAACTGGTTAATAACTAATAATAGTGTGTTATTAACGGTTATATTTACGACCGTGATTTATAAAATCGGTACAAGTTTATTGTTGTTATAAGCGGTGGTAAATTATTTTAAAATAAAACAAACGTTGTTATAAATAACAATAACAATTATATCATAATTATTATTGTTAGTTATTAGAACAAAAAAAAATTATAAAAAAAATCATAATATTGTTTAGGAAATCAAATTAGGAATCTGTAATTGGCTAATGTATGGTATAAATATAATATTTTTTAATTATTCTAGACATCGATCGATTCCAGATGTAATATTAAAATAAAATAAATAAATAAACATCTATATATATATATATATATATATATATATATATATATATATATATATATATATATATATATATATATATATATATATATATATATATATATATATATATATATATATATATATATATATATATATATATATATATATATATATATTCTTTATTGCACTTGTAAGTTACATATAAAATAATCTATTTATAAATGTTGTGAGCAAGGGTGGATGCCTATTTAATGCCGCAAAAAATCAAAGGATGGACTATTAACATTAGGGATAGAAACTGTGAACGGTAATCACAGGTTTAGATTGATAAAAGTTAAATATTTCAATGAACAATCGCTAAATAACATAAATAACGAAACGCTATTAAAAATAACGGCTATTAAAAATAACAGAATTATAAAAAATAACATATAATAAAAATATATAACGTTTATGACAAAAATAGTTGGCAATAACAATATTAACTGTACAAACGTATGACTAAACTTTATGTACCAGATTTCCATCTATGAAATAGAATAATATATAATAGAAAAAAAAAAAACATACATTATTTCAGTATGTCACATATTTTCACCACCTCTGCCCTTCATACTCTATTTTTACCTAACGGTTAGCTGGTAGAGAATGCCATATGGCATTAAGCTAGCCACTTGTACAAAGTTCTATTGTGCAATAAACAAATAAATAAATAACTCACCAATAACAAAATCGCCATTTGTAGACGACTGACTTGATTTGGAGGCATCATTTTTGTCCCTACTTTTATTATTTCCACTAGGACCATCTCTCATACGGTTACCTAATAATACATCAAGTTGTTTAGGTCGCATTTCTCTAATATTTCATCCATAATCATATCACCTGTTATTTTTGCACTAGGCTGACTGCTATTTGCGACTGTGCTTTCTACATCAGAGAGATCACTGTCCGAGTCGAATATAAGAGTAGTTTGCGCTTTATCAGGATCCAGATCGTCTAGTATCTGTAATGTCTCCGATATCTCTGATTCTTTTCCAATTTCGTTAACGTTATTAACTATTTCACATGGATTATTATTTATAGTGGCATTTCCTTGAACACTTTGAAAATATTCTTTATTTGTTTTGTTAAGTGTGTTTTGTGGTTTTTTAAGAAGTTCAAGTAGTACTCCGTTTGATGTACATTTACAAGATTTATTTATATCAGTTACGTTTTCAGAATTAATGCCATATTTTGTATTGATCTCGTTTGGAGGCATTATCGGTTGTTTTAACGTAGATGGTGCATTTTCACTACTTGTTACTTGTGTGTTTCCATTTATACTACAGTTAACCGTTGTTGAAGTTGGAATTACTATTGATAATTGTGATATTTCAAGTTGTGGTGCATTTTTATCATTGGTATCTTCAACTGTGTTATTTATATCAGCATCATCTTTATTTGGAGTCGTTTGATTGCTTAATAAAAGCGATTCATCTGTCTGTTTGTGCATATTTGAATCTTCGTTTGCCGACTCTAATTGTGTGCTTGTTAATTGTGCCAACTCTGGATTGGTTAGGTTATTATCTGTCGATTCTGTTATTCCTTTGTCTGCTGAAGTTAAGTTACCATCGATCGATTCTTGGTTATTTTTATTGACATCTGAATTGTCTCTTATTAATTCTGAGTCTTTGTCAGCAGTGTTTTCCTTATCGGGTACAGAATTTTCGTCATTCAAATTTGATTGTTCATTAAAATTTAATGGTTGATCATTGTTGGTAATGGAGTTAGTGTTTGTCGTTTCTAATGAATCAATATTTGGTGTTTGTTGGGAAAGATTTGGTTTTTCTATAATTTCTTTCCGTACATCCATTGCCTCGTTTTCAGCGAGCGTTTTGTTTATTTGTAAGGGTGCATTATTTTCGTTCGTCGACTCATTATTCATATTATCTTTTCCACTTGCATTTTGCATATCTATATTGTTAATGCATTCATTTGTATTTAATGTATTTGACTCATTATTTGTACTAACTGCATTATTTTCATTTGTGATCGTGGTTTGTTGAATTGAACTGTTTTCATCTTTATTCGAATCTATTACTTGCGCAGTTATTTTTGTATTTGTTATTTCCTTATCTACATTACCCTGTATTTCATTCGATTGTTCCACAGTCTTTTCCGAAGAACTTGCACATTTTGAATTATCAATTATAATTTCTTTCGAAGAGTCATGATCACATTGTTTAGTTGAATTTACAATTTCCTTGGCTATATCAACGTTTGTTATTATTTGTTGATTTTTTTCATTGGAATTATTTTTAAACGATCCTGTTATTGATTTTTCCATAACATCATTTTCTACAGTACTGTCCGAGGACATTTTTATAGAATCTGAGATCATAATTGACTGCTGAAGTAAATCTATGTTTTGTCTATTCAAATAAGTCTCTTTGGCTACGTTTTGTGTTACAATGTCTTTTTTATGTAATTCCGTATCTTTTAAAGGACTGTGTGGTCCACCACTGTTGCCGTTAACGTTTTCTTTTCCCTGCAGTGCACTTTCATCTATAATAAGTCGGCGTTCCTCTTCCTCGTTGTCGCTCCAAATGTCTATCGTTTCTATTTGTTTTTCTACTAGAATGACGTCATCCTCTGAATCTGAAACATAAATAGACTAACTTTTACCCGCGACATCGTCTTTGTGGCCAGAATATGTTAATAATATTATATTATTAATGCGCGCGTGACATTTCTGGTGTTACAGGCGTCCATAGGCTACGGTTAGTCCGTTTACCATCCGACTAGCCGTATGCTTATACGGCTCGAGTCACCATAGTAGTATAAAAGTGTATACGAACACATTTACAGTGATCCGTTCAGTAGTTAAGGCGCTTAGAGGTATCAAACAAACTCACTTGTACTACATATATATCTGATGGGTTTCTTTTTTTAATATAACATACATTAAAATATAATATGTTTATATTATACATAGAATGGAAAATTGCCAGACCAATACAATAATTCTTGAGTGTCGACCACGTACGGGCAAACGTAGTTTAGGACGACCCCCCACTAGATGGAGCGGCGACCTTAAATGCATTGTAAGGAGACAGTGGATGTAAATAGCATGGAACTGTTCCTGATGGCAGTCTATGAGGAAGGTTTATGTTCAGCAGCCGAGATGATGATAAGGAGACTAATACGAACAGACTCATAAATACTGATTGTATTGTACGGGGATCGAACCTACTACTATTACAAGGTAAGGGCACATTTTTTTTAATGGGTGATAATGGAATGGTAACCCCACCTACGCTATCGGTACACACTGACGGGGCACCAGTGAAGGATGATAGGTGAAAATGAAAAGACAGGTTAGTTTACCCAACGTGTTGAATACACTTGGAATTCAGCACGATGATTTCTAGGGGAGACCACGTGGAAAATCCCTTGTTATAGTTCACTGTCCCGATCTGCAATCCTAAATCCCGATTTCTTTGACCTCATGTACCGATTTAAAACAAATCGGACCTGGCGACACTACTCAGGACCGTTCCTTATAGCAGTCTACGGGGAGGCCTATGTCCAGCAATATAATGGCTGAAATGATGAAGATGCTGCGGCATGAACAGTAATGTGAACACAGTCTGTATTTACCATATTTGTCGTTGGTAGGTGCGGGCACACGGCATACGGTTTTTCTTTGTGTTAGTAATGTATCCTGAAACAAATGTAATGATTTACTTGTGATTTTACTACACACACACACACACACACACACACACACACATATATATATATATATATATATATATATATATATATATATACATACATATATACTATATTTTTTTGTTGATTTTTGTTAGCCTATTCTAGCGAACACAACTAGAAATAGCCACGATGGTTTCCAGGGGGAACCGCGTGGAGGTTAACCTGACAGCGTATATTGCTAGTAATGGAGCAATTTGACCTCATTACTAACTATTCCCCCCCCCCCTCGTCAGCAAGTATCATATAGAATATAAAAAAATTATTGCCAGTAAACACACAATTACAATATAAAATATACATAACATATACAAAAAAAGTGTCCCATACTGGGCAAAAGGAACCGGCTCAGCTGATGCTGCGAGTGTCCCAGCGCGACGTGAACAGCTGCACAGCGCTGGTTTACAGCCAGTACCTCTCTTAACAAAACATAAGCAATGTGCAGGGCACCAGTGTAAACAGCACAGGGTACCTGGAAGTAGAAGATGCAGCGTTCGTTGAGCAGGTGCCACCAGGGCGCGGGCGGCGCGGTGACGGCTCGCGGGAAGCGGCGCGCGATGACCGTGTGCAGCGGGTGTGGTGCAGCCCCGCGGGGGCCGGCCCGCAGCCGCGCGCGCAGCCGCCGCCCCGCCGTCCGCTTCAGCTCGTACCAGCGTCGCTGCAGCACCACGCTCGACGCCATCGTCTCTCTACAACGTTTGTGCAGGGTCAGCTCAGCAACGTTTGCGGTACAACTGAATATCGGGGTTTTTTTATGTGGGTGATGATGGATTGGTAACCCCGCCTGCGCTATCGGTATACGCTGGCGGGGCACCAGTGAGGAATGATAGGTGAGGATGAAAAGGCAGGTCAGTTAGCCCATCGTGTTGAATAGACTTGGAATTCAACGTGATGATTTCCAGGGGGGACCACGTGGAGGTCGATCTGATTGGGTATATTGCTAGCAATCCCCTCCGAATATCAGGGGTTAAGCAATATATAGTAATATCTATATATGTATTAGTACATTACTGCTGCGGCCAGCAACTAAGGCATTGATGGACGAACGTGGGCCGAGGCGTAGCCGAGGCATACATACGCGACTCCGTTATGTTAGATTTATTCAGGTTCAAAAATTACTTAGTATTTTTTTTATATTAACTAGTTGGATTAACTAGGTAGAAGCCGTGGACAAAAGCATATCTATAAAAACTTTAAAAATATATTTACCCTTCATTGTATTTTTTGGTGAGGTTATACCATTGCTTCCGCAGCTCCTCTTGGCTGCTCAGCTCCTCGATCTTGTAGGTTTGCACCAAGTGGAACAACGTCACCAGGGGCCTGAGGAGGTCTCTGGACGCCAGGTTAGTCTGTAATAAAAGGGGGGAAGGGATTGTTAGTAATGCGAACTGCCAGACCCATTGCCAGCAATATATATCCTGCCAGGTCGACTTCCATGTGGTCTCCCTGGAAACCATCGTGCTAAATTGCAGGTGTATTAATCACGATGGGCTAACCGACCTGCTTTTTCATTCTCACCTATCATTCCTCACTAGTGCTTCTCCAGCGTATACCGTTAGCGCAGGCGGGGTTACCATTCCGTTATCATCCATAAAAAGAACATCATCTATTGAAAAAAAAAGAAAAAAAGCAAAAACAAAACCACTAATTGTGAGTTACTGTTTTGTTATAATATTTTACGTTTACCCTTTATTTATTCTTTATCACACAGTAAAACTTTGTACAAGTGGCGAGCTTAATGCCATATGGCATTCTCTGCCAGCTAACCATTGGGTAAAAACAGAAAGCAATATGAAGGGCAGATGTGATGGAAAACAGGTGACATAATTATAGCAACATACTGAAATAATTATACACAATAATACATAAAAAATACACATACAGCGAGTGTAAAAAGTATTCGTGCAGCTAGGGTTGTTATAAAACAAATAGAAAATTGATAAACTTTATTTTATTTATCTATTTATATATATATATATATATATATATATATATATATATATATATATATATATATATATATATATATATATATATATAAATAGCTTAAGGTATGGAGAAAAAATACTAAGGATAGGTACAACCCGTCATAAACTAAAATTTCATCCCAACCATCTGGACGAGTGGCGGTCCTCCACCGTGCGTTTTTCAAGGCACTTTATTCCACGCACAACCACTCTTTGGAATCAACTTCCAGCAGCAGTATTTCCGAACCGATACGACAACATAACCTTCAAGAAA